CAGAGTGAGTTCCAGCCCTTTGTGGGAAGTGGAGATAGAATGGGAGGAGGAAGGAAGGCTCATTGGGTCTCTCAGTTGCTCCCTACTGGCATGGGATAGGAGACCCCTCTATTTTTGGGAAGTGACCCTGATTTTCTCACTGCTTTGACTAATGCAGCTACTACCACCAACACCTGTGTCCATGTGGGTCTATGGTTTCCTGCTTACAATGACCAATGAACAACAACACGTAAGAGCAGATTATCCATCTGCACAGTAGATTACAGATCACAAAGCCTTGGGTCCAAGTGGTACCACTTGACACTGAATCCTCTTCTAGAAACCTCCTACAGCAAACTCTCAATTGTCACAATTTTCAGGTTAATATGTCCCCTTTGTGACCAGTAGCACCACAGTAGTCCAGGCTTCACCTTCCATCAGTTTCAGAAGGGGAAGAGGGACTTGGAATCCCAAGGTAAGATCAGATATCACTATCCTATGGAGAAGTGGAAGAAGTCATTAAACCCATCACTCCATTCTGTCTTCTTGGTCTTCTAACTTCACTTCCCATGCATCTGAGACTTCCCAATTCTTTCATGAAAATGTCCTTAATATTCCATAGTTCTCTGGGGCATTGGGAGTCCCCAGTACCCAGGATAGTGGATTGATGAGCCCTTTAAATCAAATAAATATAATTTTTATAAGTAGTGTTGCTAAGTTAGAATCCCATATCAGGGGCTACATTTGACAATTTTTATATGCTATCCTGCACTGATATGTTAGGGGAAAGGAAGGAACATAGAAATTGCTCAGTGCTCTAAAAATTACCAGTTGATTTACCCTTGGAAACTCACTTCTTCACTTTTAAGAAATTTCAGGTTAGATTTTTTCATTTTTACTTTGAAATGTTAGGACTTGTTGCTTGTTTAAATAAGTCCCAGTTGGAGAACCATGTAAAAGTCACAGAGCCAAGTCAACATGATTGTGTGATGTAAATTTTGGGTATTAATTAAATGGAATAATATCATAAACACATAATGAAATTAAAACTTAAGTTATATGACAGAGACCAGAGACCAATAAATTAACAATGTGATAGTTGGTATGATGGAAATTTCCAAAATCATTTGTTCCTTCTTCTTAGGCAACTGAAGAGTAATCTCTATTTTTTAATTGGTGTATTTAGACCATTTACAGTTAAAGTAATTGATATATTAAGGCTGAAGTCTACTATTTTATTATTTGTTTTCTGTTTGCTTCTTCTGTGTCTCATTCCTCAGTTTCTGATTTCTTGCCTTTCTGTGGGTTATTGAACATGTTTAGGGGGCCTTCTTGATTTAATTGTAGAGTTTTTGAGTGTATGGTTTTGTGTAGTTTTCTTTGAAGTTGCTCTATTAAAATATATACATGTGACTCATAGTCCACTTTTAGTAAAGTAGAAACCTTGGTTCCATTTAGTTCTCTTTACTCTTCTCACTTTTAAATATCATTATCTTTAATATCAGATAATGTTATAATTTTTGTTTTAATCATTGCATGTGAAATAAAACTCATGAGAAGAAGAATTTACCCATATTTCTGCTCCTTCCATTTCTCTTTATTCCTTTCTGATGCTCCCCCAAATTATTTTTTTGACAAATGCAGACACCATGTAATTCACATTCCTTTCACTATATATACTATACCCATCAAAGAAACTTCCTTCTGCTTCCTTCTACCCTGGAAGCAATTACTGTTTTGATTTCTATTACCACAGACTAGTTTTTATATGTTGTAGAACCTTATATAAATACTAGAGGCCCAGTACACGGATTCATGCACTGGTGGAGGGGTGTGGCCTGCGGGGATCAGCCCACTGTGGACCCGCCCTCTGAGTGGCTGCTCTCGCTATGGGAGTGCTGCTTATCCCTGTTAGCCCAGCAACACTCCCACTGTGGGAGCGCACTGACCACCAGGGGGCAGCTCCTGGTCGTCGTTCTGGTTGTTTTGCAATTTGGTTGCTGGGCTTTTATATATATAGATAAATAGAATCATACAGTGTATGACTCTTTTGTATCTGGCCTCTTTCACACATGGATAATCTTAAGTTTCATCTGTGTTGTTGCATGTTCTAGTAGTTTGTTCACTTTACTTGCTGAATAGTATTCCATTGTATGAGTATATCACAATTTGTTTATCCATTCTTCTTTTATTGGACATTTGGGTTGTTTCCAGTTTTTGGCTACTATGAATTAAGCTGCTGTAAACTAAGAGTGGATTTGCTGGGTTAATGTCTTTCCTGCAATATTAGGTTCCCCCCTTTATTTGGGTCCTAACAACTTCTTTGCTCCAAAAGTTACAAGATGAGTTGGGAAGAATTACTCTCCTCCCAACAATGTTAGAGTGCTTTAATTAAGTGCACACAAAGTAAAATTTGGTTTTAAGAGTGCAAACATTTTATTTAGCGTTCATGTATTCTGTCCCTTTTCTGTTCTTGAACTTACCTTGAGTGATTGAACCTGCAGGCTTGCTTCAAAATGACCCCTCTCATCTCCCTTAATCAGTATTTGTGGACTGAGTCTGAACACTTTGACATGCTCATCTGAGGGTTTTTGTCTTCTCTCCCTACCAGCTACTTAGTCTCTCTAAACCTCTGTTTTCTCATCTGCCAAATGAAAAGATTAACAATGCTTTATCTCATTGGGTTGTTCTGATAATTAAGTGGGAAAATTCATGTTAAACCCTAACACAGTGACAGGGATATAGTAAAGGCTCAACAAATGGTAGCTGTTATTATTTTACTAGTAGGATTTTTGTCACTGCTCTTATGCTGTGTTTTCAAATGTATTTTGTCTGGAGCTACTAATTACCTCTAGAGTGAGTGCTCCCTCTTGGCATTAGAGGAAGAATTTTCATTTCTCCATTGGTTCATTGACCTAAATGCTCAGTGATCCCATGGGTGACTCTGGCACCTGCCTCCAGAAAGAGGAAGCATGTGGCCTCTCTGTCTCTAAATATAAGCACTCTGTATGGGGCAGGACTAGTGACACGCCAATGCCAACATGATCAGTCCAGTCTTCTTTCTTCTCATTTCTCATCACTCAGAACAAGCAAAGTTTTTAACTCTTCTCTACCACTTCCTCGATCCTTCAGCTAATACTGTGATGTAGAATGTGAGTTTAAGAGCACTGACGGTGTCAGGGAGAGGGATTGACAGGAGTGTGTGTGTGTGTGTGTGTGTGTGTGTGTGTGTGTGTGTGTGTATTTAGAAATCTATATAAAAGACAAAGATTAGAGCTTGGAGAGAGGAAATGGATATGTGGGATAAAAGGGGTCAGTGAGACAAAGGATGTCAGTGGGACTAGGAGGATGACACTGGTTAGAGAAAGAAATGGGCATGCAGAGGTGGGTCAGGAAAAGCACTAGGAGAATGTGGGGGGAGACTTTTTAATAAAATGTTGGAGTGCAGTTCAAAGAGCAGACTGTACCAGGATGGGACCTATCATTGGGGGGCTATTCATGAAAATGGCTCAGGTTTTGATCACCACCTTGGTGCAACAAACAAATCCACTAGTAAAAGGCTAACTTACCAATTCCATGGCCCATTTGTTCAAATAGTTTCAATGTACTTATAGATGTGCCAGATTATGTGCTTAGTGCTGTGAACTCCCCAGTCCCAAGGTGGGGACTCTTGAGGGAACTTTCTCTTGGTAATCTGGATTTCAGGTGTGTCTAAATTTGAAAAGTCCTCCTCCTCCTGTCTCCCATCCTGCATTTTGTAGAACAGGTATAGAGACGGGGAGAAGGAGAGGTCATGCCTTGAAGTTGGGATTCTCCATCACGTTTTCCATCACATCATAAAAACATGAAAATCACACAATACACCATCACATGCTTACTCAAATTTTGAAAAAAACCTGAAAACTTTTATGGGGGTGGTGAAACAAATGGGTAGGTAGAAATTTTTCTTGAGATGTTTGTTTATTTAAAAAATGAATTGGTATTAAGGGTGAGTCAGTGGATTAAGGGTATCTCAGTGCCTCTGCAGTGCAGTAAGACTGGTTTTAGATTATAAAACCATGTTACATGCTGGCTTTGAGTGTATGTGAGCAAGAGTAAGGTTATTAGAGCTATAAATTTGAATTAGTTTCAGTTTATTAAAAGGGTTAACATTTACAAATTTTGATGCCTTATTTTTTGTTATTAGAAATAATTTTCTTGTGATACATCTCACAATGAATCCTTCCATATATTGTGCTGCAAACGGAGGCCACCCTTATAGCCTAGTGTGGGGGGGCAGGCTATTTTACCCATTAGGAACATGGCTTCAGGGTGTACAGCCTGCACATTTGTAGGTGGTGAAAAATATGAGACCACAAGCACATGTACAAGGAAAATGGCAAAATGAAAATCATGCCTGTTTAAATAAATGTCTAAATAATATAACTACACAAAAAATAACCAACTCCACTCCTATATAGTTATCTAACAATTATATTTGAGGTGGATTGTGGGCACATTTTAGTATGTTGTTGTGATGTCAGGAGTCTTCAAAAATTAAGGTTGTATAAAGACATAAAGGGCCTTCCCCTAAGGAGGGAATGGGTATAACCAAAAAATAGGGTTGGAAGTCACAAGAGGAAAAGATACTAGGAAGAAAAAGAGAAAGCAGAAAATTGAAGAAGTGGCTCTATTTCTTTTTAGCCTGGACCAAATCTTTGCCTGCCTTTGCTGTCTTCACTATTGAGGTTATAAAGCATTGTTAGAATTATAAGCAGAGCCAGAGTTGGTTTTTCTTTTTTGATGACTTATATTAGGTATCTTGCATTGAGAAGTAATATATAAAAGGAAAATGAATTTGATTTATTTCTTTAAAAAATAGATCTTATTGATTTTTACAGAGAGGAAGGTAGAAGGATAGAGAGTTAGAAGCATAGATGAGAGAGAAACATTGATCAGCTGCCTCCTTCACACCCTCTACTAGGGATAGAGCCTGCAACCAAAGTACATGCCCTTGACTGGAATTGAACCTAGGACTCTTCTGTCAGTGGGCCAAAGCTTTATCCACTAAGTCAAACCATTTATGGCTGAATTTGATTTCTGATGAAGTTTTGTTTATATAAATTTGGGGCCTATGCTTTAGAATAGAGGCAGAACAATGTGGCCTCTTGGTGCTTATGCCAGTAAAGTTCAGCCTCTCCTATAAATTGAAGATAAATTAATATTTAGAATATATTGTCTGGAAGGGTATCAAATTATTAGGGACCCTTACTTGTCTGAATCTGGCTCTGTCCCCTTTCCTGTACCTATGTGGAGACCCATTGCTCCCTCCCTACAGCCATCATGCTCCGAGCAAGTGCATCTGCATTGAGGAAGAAGGATAGACTCATAAATTTTGTCTCTTATTTCTTTGGATGCCTTCCTCCAAGGGACCCTCTGAAAATCCGTATCAGTAGTTCCACCTAACTCCTGATTCTCTCCTTATCCTCTCCATGGTCTCTTTTCTCCATGTTCCCTTCAGAATCACTCATTCTTTCCCTAGCCCTGATAGCTAGCAGATAGAGCTTCAGAAGCAGACAAATCTTACATGAATGGTGGGAAAAGCCAAGGCAAGCAGGTCTCTAGGATTAACCCTTCATAGCAGGAGGGAAAACTAAATCTTTTTGAGGGTTAAGGAACAAGTGGGCCAGAGAAAGGCTATATTAATGGAGCCAGAGGGGAGTGTATTGATTTCTTATGCTCAGAATAGTTTTCCTGGTGGCTCCTAAGAAGATCTAAACACAACCTTTATGGAATTATCTGGGGAGGAGCATGAGAAGTTCACAAAGAGCAGGTAATGAATATGGCTTCTCAATTTCAACAGTTGCCCCACTCCTCACTGCCTTTAGAGAAGATCTCGATCTAGATCAGCGTGGAGAAACACATTCCTTAGGCTCCTTCTGGATTTCTACTTTGTGTTCCACTTACATGAATAGGGAGCCACAAGTGCCAAGTTATTAGGTAAGTGTCATGTGAAATTTTCAAGGTAGTAGCCAGATAAATTTAATGTGATTACATATAATCAAGTTAAAATACAGTTTGCCTAATAGGTCTTCAGGAAGGAGATATATTATTATGGACATGGGCCATTACAAAGTGGTTTGTCTTAAAATTTGAATAAGCAGAAGTGGAAGGGAAGGGAACTTCCTGTAAACACAGAATGAGCAAAGTCTTGGAGGAAAAAGTATAGCATGGGTAAGGGGGCAAATGCTGCTTGTATGGAAATGCAGACTGAGGACAGAAAAGTGGGTGGGCCCAGACTTTGGGGGCAGGGTGAAGCATGGTTGATGAAGACATTCTACGTGCAAATAAGCACAAAGGGCCAGAGGTTATCCCTATAAGTGAATAGTCTCTGGAAGGACTTTCCCCTGGAGAATCCCACAGTTTAGAAATCCATGCTGTCTTTTGTGATCTCAGCTCACACTCAGAGATGCTTTCTGTTCCTATTATATTCAGCAGACCCATCAACTTCTAAGTCATTATAGAGAGGATCCTAAAGTTCATCATGACTCACACCAACCTTACCATCTTCCACCCTGCAGTTTTTGTCCTACTCGGCATCCCTGGGCTGGAGGCGTATCACAACTGGCTGTCCATACCCCTCTGCCTCATGTATATCACGGCAGTCCTGGGGAACAGCGTTCTGATAATGGTCATCATCAAGAGCGTTAACCTTCATGAGCCCATGTACTTTTTCCTTTCCATGCTGGCCATCACGGACATCCTGCTGTCCACCACTACTGTACCCAAGGCCCTAGCCATCTTTTGGTTCCATTCCCATGACATTGCCTTTGATGCCTGTGTCACCCAAGTTTTCTTTGTCCATGTGATGTTTGTGGGGGAGTCAGCTATCCTATTAGCTATGGCCTTTGACCGCTTTGTGGCCATCTGTGCTCCTCTGCATTATTCAACAGTGCTAACATGGCCTGTTGTGGGAAGAATTGCTCTGGCCATTGTCACCCGAAGCTTCTGCATCATCTTCCCAGTGATTTTCTTGCTGAAGCGGCTGCCCTTCTGCCGGACCAACATCATCCCCCATTCCTACTGTGAGCATATTGGAGTGGCCCGCTTAGCCTGTGCTGACATCACGGTTAATATCTGGTATGGCTTCTCAGTGCCCATTGTCATGGTCATCTTGGATGTAATCCTCATCACTGTGTCTTACTCACTGATCCTCCGAGCAGTGTTTCGTTTACCTTCCCAGGATGCCCGGCACAAGGCTCTCAGCACTTGTGGCTCCCATCTCTGTGTCATCCTCATGTTTTATGTTCCATCCTTCTTTACCTTATTGACCCACCGCTTTGGACATAACATTCCTCGACATGTCCATATCCTGCTGGCCAATCTTTATATAGTGGTGCCACCAATGCTCAACCCCATTGTCTATGGTGTGAAGACGAAGCAGATACGGGAGGGTGTAGCAAACCGGTTCTTTGACATGAAGGCTTGGTGCTGTGCTTCCCCTCTGGGCTGATGGCTCCTCATAAATCCCCACTCCCAACTTTGCCAAGGAAACTAGGTATGAAATATAGAGATTTCCTGAGAGGGCTTTTCCTTCTCTTCCTCAGTCCCTTCTTCTTCTTCATCTTATCCTCTTCTATCTCTTTTTCTTTTCTTTTCTGCCTCTTCCTCTTTGCCTCCTTCCTCTGTTTCTTTGTTTCCTTTATCCTCTTCTTTTCTCATATTCCTCCCCCACAACCCACAAATAACAACTAAGTGTTCATGCTTCTAATTATGAACATTTGGTATCCTCAGTAGACCACATGTACTCCAGAAACACAGGGAGCTGAACAGCACATTAAGTAAGTTATGCACAAATGGATAAAAATAATTTTATATTTAATGCCTGAAAGGGTTCCAGTTTTTATCCCCAAATGTGCATTTATTATTTGTACAGGTTCAAGTAGCTCTCCATCCACCTCTATAATGGCAGGTGTTTTTGAAAAATAGCCATGCATGCATGCCATTTAGCCATCTGGAAAAGCCCTGTTCTTTCTTCAAATTTCAAGTATTGTCTTCCCTGAGAAGTGTTTCCTAAATTTTTCTAGGCAACCCAAGACTCTTATCTTTGTATGTCTATTGTATCTTGTACAAGTCTCCAAATATATATAATGAATTATAATGGGTTATTTATTTATTTATACCCTCAATTGACTATATAAACTCTTTGAAACCAGAATAGTGTGTGTCATTAATATTTGTACTCTTAGTACATTACAAAATACTTAGTACATAATAAACATTTGAGAAATGAATGAAAGCATAATTACCTCCCTGAACTTAGAACATGCATCTCTATCATGCACTGAAATGATCAGCTAAATGTGTCCACAAACCTAGTGATTAGTAAACTAGCTCCTCACAAAGACAGTGTAAGTATCATGGAGGCAAATATGCTGCTCATTAGAGTGTTTTCAACTCCAGGGAATAGATAAGAGTAGGAGGACACAGGTTATTTTTGATTTTCTCTTCTACCTGGCTTCTGAACATCCACATTATTAGGAATCATAGCATGTTGTTCATGGCCAGATTAGCAAAATAGAGTAAGCTCTTGGAGTTCACACTCTTGACCCTCATTCTTTCATTTTTTTCCCCAGCAAATGTCATCTACACTCATTTCTTCCACCTCCACCTATACCAGTGGTTCCCAAACTTATTTGGCCTACCGCCCCCTTTCCAGAAAAAATATTACTCAGCCCCTGGAAATTAATTTTTTAAAAATTTTAATAGTAGTTACTCATCGCCCCCAAATGCACCTGTGGCCATCACCACCCCCCTGGATCGCTGCAGCGCCTACCAGGGGGCGGTAGCGCCCACTTTGGGAATCACTGACCTATACCAATGAGTCCCACATCTCTCGTTTCATCTTAGAATTCTTTTGAATTTTTTTTTTGTTAATCCTCACCTGAGGATATTTTTCCATTAATTTTTAGGGAGAGTGGAAAGAGAGGGAAAGACAGAGAGAAACATTGATGTAAGAAAAACACATCTATTGGTTGCCTCCTGCACGAGCCCTGACCATGGCCCAAGCTGGGGAGGAGCTTGCAACCAAGGTATGTGTCCTTGGCTGGAATTGAACCTGGGACCCTTTGGTCTGCAGGCTGAAGCTCTATTCACTGAGCTAGAGCTCTTTTGAGTTTTAAATGCATAAACTCATCTGTCAACTGAATATCTCCTCCAGGATATAGAACTCATGCTAGCACTTCTTCATGTTCCTGTTCCTTTCCTTGGAAACTAGATCATGAGGATCCCATAAACTTCACCAAGCTGGAAACCCTAGGGGAGTTTCTCAATTTCTTCCTTCCTGGACTGCTCATCAAGAAGTTATTGGTTGTTACTCATATTGATAATAACCAAATAGTTATCTGGATAGTATTTGGAGTGATACTGGGATTCCAGTCCTGTCCCTATTGTTTTCCATTATCTTCTTAGGCCATATCTAAAATGAGCTCTGGGGAATATGTTCTTCTTGGGGACAGCACAGCTTTCTCAGTCCACTTCCTGGTGCTAAAAGCTTGGATCCAAGAGTTGTATTAGCTCTTGACTAGTCAAAGTCTTTCTTAGCTGAGTTCTTGGTTTCTTTGGCACTATATGTTTATTAATAACCTAGTAGGCTTCTCATCTATGTGGTTTTACTTATGTGCTAGTAAACACCCCCCCCCCAAATCTCTTAAATATATAATTCTCAAATGTTTCTATATTTCCTTTCATTATTTCCATGTACATCTTTCTGAACTAAGTAAAGGCTAATTTGGGATAGTGATGCTTTAGTGGGAAGGTACCTTTGCCCTCAGTCGCTTGATTTATTTGAGATGTTTACTGATTAGCACACCCAGGACATGAATTTAAATATATATATTTAAATTTTATTATGTGTGTATTTTTAGAGTTGACACTATTATAGATGTCTCCCATTCTCCCCCCTCCACTTTCATCCACCTCTACCGAGCCCACACCCCCTTCCCTTAGCCTTCACCACACTATTGTCTGTGTCCATGAGCTATATATTCTTTGGCTAATCTCTTCATCTTTCCCTATTCAGTCCTCCCTCCCTCCACCCCCTCTGAGATCTACCAGTCTGCTCCATGCATCCATGCCTCTGGTTCTACTTTGTTCGTCAGTTTATTTTGTTCATTATCCTATATAATAAAAGGCTAATATGCAAATTGACTGAATGGTGGAATGACCGGTTGCTATGATGCGGAATGACCACCAGGGGGAAGATGCTCAATGCAAGAGCTGCCCTCTGGTGGTCAGTGCACTCCCACAGGGCTCACGGCTGGTGAGTGCAGCAGCAGTGGCAGGAGCCTCTCCTGCCTCTGTGGCAGTGCTAAGGATGCCTCGGGGGATGCCTGACTGCCAGCTTGGGTGGACATCTCCTGAGGCAGGCGGACATCTCCCGAGGGGTCCTGGACTGCGAGAGGGTGCAGGCCAGGCTGAGGGACCCCCCACCCCTCTCCACCAGTGCATGAATGTTGTGCACTGGGCCTCGAGTATTTCACATATAAGTGAAATCATATGGTATTTGTCTTTCTCTGACTGTCTTACTTTGCTTAGCATAATAATCTTCAAATCCATCCATCTTGTCGCATAGGGTAAGAGCTCCTTCTTTTTTACAGACACATAGTATTGCATTGTGTAAATGCACCACATATTTTGTATCTACTCATCTACTGATGGGTATTTGGACTAACCTTCTCTGGGCCCATCCTATGTCACTTCTTTTTCTCATCCAACTACTTCTAGGGCAGGTTGTTGTATCACTCCAGCAGGAAAGACATTGGAGGCTTGTCTTAGTCCTATTCAAACCTAGTCCCAAGGGGCAGGCCCATCAGATGGACAGCTCTGCCAGATTGAAACATTAGATGAAGGTGTGTTCCCCCCTCTATCTAAGCTTGGTTTCCTCCCCATTCACTCTACAGTCAGTTCTGTTATAACATGACATGGATTCTTAAAAGTCACTGTGCTATGCAACACTCCACATGAAAAACCTCAGGATTTATGGAAAAATGCAGTTAGGGGAATAGCATTCAACAACTTTGTCAGTGACACATAAAAAAGATAGAAAACTAGTATAAACAGTAGCGGAGCTTTACAATGTTAAATGATTAAGAAAAACACGAATACTACAATGCATATAACACTTTGAAGAAGATATGCAGTTTGCTGTGGAAACACAGAGGGGTTGCAGCTAGTCAGTTATTGTGAAGTGGTAGAAGGAGCTTCATCTGAAATTTTTAAGTTGTGAAGTGAAGGAAGGTGGCCGATTAGTATTTGGAGTGTGTGTGTGTTTTGTGTATTCCTATGCTGCTTGTTTTGAGCTTGATGCAGTTTTCTGCGTTCTACTGAACAAAAGGGCACAAAGGCAAATGTGAAATTCAGTTATGCTCAAATTGTTTCATAATATATCATTGACGTTAGAACATGTTTGTTTATTCAAATCAAGTAATATAGCAGAACTATCTGCCTTTTTCCTATGTCAACAGTCTTCCTCTTTTGGTATGATGCACCTCAATATATTAATATATAGATTCCAAGAACTGCCAACTTCAAAAACTACCTGTACTCCACCTACTTCTTTCTTGGTCTTGCCATGGCACTTCCAAGTCTCACTCCTATATCCTCAGGCTCTGCCTTTCACAGACCCATCCTCTTGTAAGTTATTTTCAATATTATCTTTCCTTCCTCACCTTTTAAATCTATGGCGCTTTTACTGAGTTGGGCTTATTAATTTCAATGCCATCTAGAATTTGTCCTATCAGGATGTTGAAACTGCTCTTGCTAATGACTTCCACACTGCCTAGTTGAATGAGCATTGTAGTGGCTAGAGTGCCAATAGAGAACAGATGGCCCATTCAAATTAGAATAGTTAAAACATTCTTTTTATTGAGGTATAATTGACATGTAATGTTATATTAGTTTCAGGTGTACAACATGATTCAATATTTGTACATATTGCAAATGATCTCCACAACTAAGTCTAGTTAACACCCATCACCACACATACTTATAAACGTTTTTTTTCTTATGATGACAACTATTAAGAGTTACCTTCTCTCAGCAACTTTCAAATATGCAATGCAATACAGTTGACCCTTTAACAACATGGGGGTTAAGGGTGCCAACCCCAGCGAAGTTGAAAATCTGTGTATAACTTTTGATTCCCTCAAAACTTAACAACATTCGTCCTTCAGTATCCATGTGGATTGGTTCTAGGACTCCCCACAACCCCATACTAAAACTCTGTGGTGCTCAAGTGCCTTATATAACATGAAATAAAACAATGTATACAGTCTACCCCCTGAATCCACAGATTCCCATCTGTTGATCAAAAACACTGTGATCCATATTGGTTGAATCTGTGGATGGAAAACCTCAGAATACAGATTGCACACTGTATATATATATATTGAAAAAAATCCACGTGTAAGTAGACTTGCACAGTTCTAGTACTGCATTGTTCAATAATCAACTGTATTATAGTCACTGTACATGCATGACTTATTTTATAACTGAAAATTTGTACCTTTTGACTCCCTTCCCACCCCTGTCCCTGCCTCTGGCAACCACCAATCCATTTTCGGTATCCATAAACATGTTTTGTTTTGTTTTTTAAATTCCACATATAAGTGAGATCATATGGTATTTGCTTTGTCTGGTTTATTTCACTTAGCACAATGCTTTCAAGGTCCATCCATATTATCACAAATGGCAAGATTTCATTATTTTTTACGGTTGAATAATATTCCACCACATATATATGGTGGAATTTTATCTACACTAATAAAAAGAAACATGCAAATTGGTGTCACTCCGCTATGCCCACCAGCCAATCAGATGATTATGCAAATTAACCCAACAAAGATGGAGGCTAATTTGCATATGCAGGCCTGGAGCGAAGACTGAAGACTGAAGAGGCTTGGCTTCTCCTCTGTGGCCGGACCAAAGGCCTGGGTCCCAGGTGAATCTTCGTGCAATGGGCTTCTAGTATATATATAAAACCTCACATTTTCTTTATTCATTCACCTATTGATGGATACTTATGTTGTTTTCTTGTTCACTGTAAATAATACTGCAGTGAGCATGAGGGTGCATATATCTTTTCAAATTAGTGTTTTGTTTTCTTTGGATAAATACCCAGAAGCGGAATCACTGGGTCATATGGTAGTTCTATTTTTAATTTTTTGAGAAACCTTCATACTGTTTTTTATAGTGGTTGAACCATCTTATATTTCCACCAACAGTACACAAGAGATCCCTTTCTCTACAACCTTGTCAACACTGGTTATTTCTCAAATTAGAATACTTTGAGAAGGGATTACTTACAAAGAGCCTATATATAAAGATGTGATCAGTAAAAGCTCCAAAGTGATAGTACAGTTACCTAGGGCTAATAATAGCACTTGTCACCACCTCTAGACCTGAAAGGATGAGTGACCCTGAAATCCTGAAGTAGAGAGTTGGCATAGAGAGGTTACTTCCAGAAGAACTTTTTGAATTTATTCTATCTCTTTGGGTGTGAGTTGGGCTTATTAACTTCAATGCCACTCTTCATGTTGGTTTTGCTCAAATAGATGGGTTGTATCTGGTGTTAAAGAAAAATTTCACTACATAGGATGAGCAAACAGAAGTTGATTTTATACTGATACTATTGCCAGCAATGGGGAAGAGAACACAGACAAGTCTGGATCCCCAGTTCTGTTAAAACAAAAGACCAGATTGGGCTGAGGTTAGGTGTCAGGTACAATGGGTTTAAGCCCTGGGGAGAGCTGTGGAAAAATACTGAAGGACTTTAGTAGGAGGTTGATCAATGAGATGTGTCAAGCACATTGAGTTATTCCTGAGATTGCACATCTTGTTGTCTGTGATGAGGGCATCTGTGTTTGCTAATTGGCGCCCAAGGAAGTTAGGCTCCTACTCTCCACAGAGACAGAGAGATGGGGTATCTCCTTCAATGTTACATTTCAGGAGATAGTTTCCAGGTCCTTGAGAAAGACATTTCCTGGGTGTATAACTGGCAAGAATATAGGAGATGATTTATATACACTACAAAGGGGCAGTGGATGAATTTACAATTACATGTTTTCTGAAGCAAATGCTATAAGAAAAGAGAGGCCAGGAAGAAATATAGTCAGGAAGAAATTTGTCTTAGATCAAGCCATCTTGGTCATTGGTTAGTTGATTTCCTTTCTAGTAGGCAATCTCTGGATGCTGTTGTATTTGTTTGATGCAATCTGTTGTAGGGGAGGTAAGAGGTGTGCTAATAGCTTGATTTATGGTTGAAGCTCATGGGGCATGGTTGTTTATAGCCATGTTGATCACTGCCCTGTTTTCTGACCCAATCTCCAATATTCTGGGCACACCCACCACTATTGCTTGACTTTTAGCCCACTTCTTGGTCCAAGAATGTATGTGCAGGAGGATAGACATGCCTGACTACTTCTGCTGTCTTACCCATTAATCCCCAGGTTGTTTTTTTCATAGCCTTCTGTTTCTATTAGTATCAGACATTTCTTATCTGAATATACATTATTTTTGTATTAGTGCTTTCTCCTATACCTTTTGGCATCTATTCTTTCATAATTCCATCACAGTTACCTTTCATTTTTGGAGTTTCCCTAATTTTTTTGATTAATATGTGAAACACATCTTTTTTTCCCCCACACCAAATATACCTAGTGTTTCAGCAATTTTGTTATGGTTAGGTTTTAATATGATGTAAGATGAGCTGCAGCTTGCTAAAATTAAGATATATTATGCTAAGTGAATAAACCAGTCAATGAAAGAAAAATACCACATGATCTCACTTATTTATGGACAATAAAGAACATTATAAACTGATGAACAAAAATAGATACAGAGGCAGAGCAGCATCGAACAGACTGTCAAACTACAGTGGGAAGGCTGGGGAGGTTTGGGTTTGGGGGGTAAGAGATCAACTGAAGGATTTGTATGCATGCATATATGCATAACCAATGGACACAAGGTACTGGGGGGTAGAGGAGGCTGGGGGAAGGTCAATGGGGAAAAAAGGAAACATATGTACTACTTTTTGTAACACTTTAAGCAATAAAATAAAATTAAAAAAGATATATTGAGTCATAAATTATTGTCAAGTTATAGCTAAATAAAATCACAGATTTGTCAGAACATTTGGGAAATTTGCTTCTTGACTATAAAAGAACATGGTCAGGAAAATAAGTAGTTCAGGCTGAATAGTAATTTACATTCTTACGTTTGGTAACAATAAATTTACATATTGACAAAAAATGTGAAATTTTAATCAAGAAGGATTTGGAAATAATAATGTGTTGTTCAGGCCACTAAAAAGTCTATGGAGAGAATAGCATAGATTTCCAAAGGAAGAACACGGGCAAGCATTTCTTAGATGGGCTTATTCTTTACAGCTGACATCACAAGGTAACTCAGAAAATCTATAAATACCTAAAATTACCTTCTCTAACAGAATGTCAGTCTGCTCTGGGAAAGATTGTTCTCTGTGATAGTTTTCAACAATAAACTTACCCAAAGGAAGGGTGGGTCTGCTCAATGGGTTTCTTCATGGAATTAGAGAAACTAAATGATGATGACAATATAATAAGATACAATTTTATCTATTTTTTGACTACAAACAATAAATTGCTGATGTTATCAAAAATGGATCTCAGATGACTAAATAATAAAAGGAGTCTCAGTATGGTGTGCAAAATAATGCGGAATATTATGAACTTGGGAAAGGATAATTTAAAGAGGAGCATATTTATACTCATCAGAAAAACCCTTTTCTGACTTCCGAAGTGACTAGAATCAGCAGGTGGATGCTCTAATCCATTTTCTGGGGGAGTCTTCCTAAGTATGTGAGATGAGAGGTTATGAGGTTATTTTAATGATGCTATAATGGGCAATAAGCAAATAAATAGATAAGTGTTCAGTTGAATCCACTGACTTCCTCTGAAGCTCAAAATATTTCTGTTTGTCAACAGGGCTAACCAGAGACGTGAGACCACGATGGAACACTATCCAGACTGACATGACGCTCTCAGTGGATTTCATGGCCCAGGAGGGTACTGAGATGTCTTGAAAAATGGGATAGGCACATATTCTAGATTTGGATTTGCATTTTTGGTAATGGAAACAAATACTTCAAATATCATCAGAGGATTAGAACAAAAATATTTTAATGGGCTCTCTGTTTATGTATCCTCATATCGAGGGATGCGTTTTACTGCCTTACACCATAAATCCAAAAAAGGAAAAGATTAATATATTACCTGAAGTGATTAATTCTAATTACCAAAGAGCAAATTAGGTTGCAACTGTAGAATGGAAGCAAGTAGACTGTGTTGGAAATGCAGGGTATTCTCTGAGGTACCTCTTAGTACTTTCCATGCACAACAGTAAAGGTTAATAGAAAAGTATACCAATGAAAAAAGATGCTAAATCCATAGCAGGATTCTAAATCTTTAGCAGGATGAATGAGAATTCAGACCCTTTAGGAATAAAGGTTTTGGTTACTCTACCAAGATTTGACAAAGTTGGAAGATATATGGCACATATCAATTATGAACTAGTAAACAATTATAGGCATTAAAACTAGTAGCTTTGAATATTTTCTATTTGCTTTTTATATGCAAGATTTTATTTCTATATACTATAATTTTCTTTTCTCTCCTTTCAATTTTTATTTTATATATACATTATTAGAAATTAACTTCATAATTTAGTCTCTAGGTGACAGAATTATTCAATGGGACTGTGACTGAATTTGAGGAATAGGTAATATATCCAGCAATGCATATAATGACTGTTGGAACTGTGCATCTTGTTACTGTTGGGAAAAATTGAAAATTTCTTCCATTGTATGAAGAATAGCTTTATCATTTAAAATTTGGTTGTTTCATTGTTGTATGAGAATTCAAAATGTATATAAAAGGGTCTATATGGAAGTTGAGTAGTCAAAGGTGTGAGTCTTCCTGGAAATCAACTTATTGTGACTCAGTTACCAACTCATGCTTTTTGGTTTGCTCTGTGAAAGTGGATCTGGCCCCTGTAAATGCCTTTGTCAGCTGGAATGATGCTCAATTTTGTCAGCAGGAAAAGGATGAAGAAAAATTGTAAGAAGTAAGTTGTAAATTGAGGTGAAATTCACATAACATAACATTCAGCATTGTAACCATTTTAAAGTGGCTTTCAGTACATTCACAATGTTGTGCAGCTCTCACTTCTAATTACAGAAATTTTCAACACCCTCAAAAGAAACCCTGTACCTATTGAACAGTTGTTCCCCACTTTTCCTTTCCCTTCACCCATGGCAGCCACTTATCTTCTTTCTGTCCTATGGATTTGCCTATTTTGGACATTTCATATAAATGGAATAATAAAATGTGTCTTTTGCTGTCTGTCTTCTTTCAGATAGCATAATTACTTCTTTACTTTTTTTCTACTATTATTCCATTGTATGGATATCTCACATTTTGTTTACCCATTCAACAGGTGATGCACTTTTGGGTTGTTTTCATTTCTTGGTATTATGATGTGTCTTATTATTTTGGGAAAAAGGTTTTGTGAGGACATATGTTTTCAATTTCTTTTGGGTATGCACCTAAGTGTGGAATAGCTGGGTTCTATGGTAACTCTTGTTCAGTCATTGGAGAAGCTGCCAGGCTCTTTTCTAAAAGAGCTGCCCAGTTGACGTTCCCACCATCAGTGCATGAGCTCATGGCTTCTGTTGTTGCTTCAGTCCCAGCGCTGATTCTAAGAGGTTGTTCTCCAAGGTGAAATTATATACAAATCTCCTGAGGTCATTCTTCAGACCATGGCCCAGGATATTTTCTGTGCTATATAGGATTCAGCAGACCTATGCCTCCTGACTGACTGTATCATGAATGAAGTGTTTATTAAGCAGGTATTATGTACAAAGGTGTACTAGGCTCAGAGAAGATACAACATGAACATGGTTGAGGGATCCTTGTAATCAAAAGTATGCATTTTTATGAGATGTGCAAATGGTAAAATTAATTTATACTTAATTAATTGGTTATTTGGAACTACTTTTCTAGAGCATTTTCTCAGGCCATATTTTTTGTTTTCACTTCCTAGGAAGAACACTTCACCACACAAGTAAATGAAATTTTCCATGTATATATTACATCTGAATGTATGGTAGCTGTGTATAAGTGTGTTGATCTCTAGGTGCAACAATGGTCTGAGATATTTCGTTTTTTACTCTTTTTTTTAGTAATAGACAATTGAATTATACTTTTCAAATGCTTATTTCAATAAGTGAGGCTGACAGTTTTCATGACGTTATTGTATTTTTTCCCAATTTTTTACAATGTAGGCCTATTCAGAGCCACAACCTCTGTCGTATTAACATCTGTATGGCCTTATAAAGCTAAGGTTACTTCTGATGTGGGTGGAGAATTCACCCACCCATGTATCCTCTGGAAACCCAGTCTGAGCTCTCCCATCCTGAGAGCATAGACCATGGGGTTGAGAGCAGGGGGGATAACATTGTGCAGCACATTAAGGAGTACAGGGATAAGGGGAATCTTTTCTTCTACAAGGTGTGTGACAGACAGCACAATGATACCTGTGTAGAAGAAGAAAATGAGGATGAGATGGGAGCTGCAGGTGCTCAGAGCCTTGGACATTGCTTTGGTTGAGTTCAGCCTCAGCACAGTGTGAAGGATTAGTGCATAGGAAGAAAAAACCAGAGCCATATCACTCCCAACTAGGACCCATGCTAAGAACAGTTGGTAAAATTTGTTCACAGTGATGTCATCACAGGCCAGGCTGATGACCCCCAAGTTAGAGCACAGGCAGTGGTCAATTTCATTCTTGGAGCAGTAGAGTCTTTGGGCAGCCAGGACAGGCACTGGGATGGTCAACAGGCCATTCCTGAGCACCATGAATCCTGTGACTTTGACCATAAAAGCAGTAGTGACTATGGAGGGGTATCGAAGAGGGTGACAGATGGCTATGTATCTGTCCACTGCCATGCAGAGGAAGATACCAGACTCCATACCAAAGAAGCAGTGGATGACATACATCTGAGCAAAACATTCAGGGAGGCTGATGGCCTTGGCATCAAACCAGAAGATAGCCATAATCTTGGGCATAATGGTGGTGGCCAAGCCAATGTCGACAAGTGCCAATATGCCCAGGAAACGGTACATGGGCTCATGTAGTGTGGGCTCATGTTGGATGGTGATGAATATGAGGAGATTGGCAGCAAGAGCTAATAGGTAGAGTAGAGCCAGGGGCAGGGAGAGCCAGTGCTGCCACTCGTGAATGCCTGGGAGCCCCATCAAGATGAACTGGGAGATGTGGAGGCTGGAACTGTTGGTAACTGTTGGAACTGTTGTGGAGATGTCCATGGCACAGGTGCCCTGTTCAGTGTCTTTCCTAAAACTAAAATATGAAGGAGGTTACATTTGAAAATTTAGCTGAGGGCCCTAATTAGAGACTCCTACCAATGACTCAGTTGCTTATTTCTTATTTTTTAAAATTTATTTTTTCCCCATCACCTTTTATTCCCTCTGTGTCCTCTAGTACCTCTTCTGATCCCCCTCCACCCTGGCAATCACCACACTGTTGTCCATGAATGACCCAGTTTCTTTAATTGTGAAAGACTGTCAACTTTTTTTTTTTGGCTCTTGGAAATATTCTACAGAGGAGCAATAAAAAAAAGCCAAGATCAGTCCTAAACAGAAAGGTTGGAATAGCAGTTTGTCATCACCACTTGAATGCCTAATAAGTATGTCCAAATCCATCAACAATAATCTTATCACCAACAGATAACAAATATTCATATTTGTTTTACTGACTTCCATTTTTCTGTTTTAGGTTTGAGCAGTTTACATCATTTGGAGATAATTTCGTATCTTACCTTTGATTTCAGCAATATGTTCTGAGACCTAAAAAAGGAGCTCAGTAAAAATTTACTACATGAATAAATAAATGAAACATGACTTTCCAGTATCATTAAAAGCAATCAGAGTCTTAATTTTAATGAGCACTTTATATTCTTATATTAGACTGTTTCACAAATTGCTAACCACTATTTTACTTTTCAGATTATTTCCTTTGAGTAGAATTTCAAAAATGATGCAAAAGTAATACATATAAAGAACCTCACCATCTTCATTTTTACAGAATTTAGATATTATTTTAAATCTCACCCATGCCCATAATAAAAATAAACATAATCTTATATAATAAAAGGCTAATTGCAAATAGACCGAACGGCGGAACAACCGAACAACCGGTCACTATGACATGCGCTCACCACCAGGGGGCGTTGGGCGCAGTGGGATGGTGGAGCAGGTGAGTGAGGGTGCCAGACCAAGGTGGGTCATCGGTCACTGTCATCAGGGTGAGCCTCTGGTCATTACTGAAAATTCTTGCCTGGCGCTCACACCCGCTGTTGGCACCTGAGCTGCTGCTTGCACCCACTGCCAGTGTCAGCCCTACTCGCACCCGCAGCCAGCGCCGGAGCCGCTGCTCACACCCACTGCTGGCACCCAGCGCTGGTCCTGTTCGCTTCCATCAGCAGGTGCAAGAGGGGCTGGCGCAGTCAGCATGCAGGAGCAGCGGCTGCAGGAGAGGGCTGCTGGCAGAGAGGGGACCAGGGGCCGTGGCAGGAAGGACTGGGCGGGGGCACCAAAGATGGGACGAGACCCACCCTTGTGCTCACTGTAGCCTTGAGGCCCACAGTTCCTTTCAAGGTGCATGAATTCATGCACTGGGCCCTAGTAAAAAAGAAAAACCCATGCTTTGGATTCCCAAGTTCCTTTCTTTTCACCAAAGGCAACCAGTAATTATTTCTTGGGAATACTCTCGGAAATAGTTTTAGTATAGATATGAATATATTTTCCCATAAGAGACAAAAACAAATGTTAGCATACCAATCATACCTTTCTTATACTTTGTTTTCTTGACTTTCCTTTTTTAGCGTAGTTATCTTAGAGGCTGTTCCATATTGATATACCTCCTTGTTGTTAAGTTGCATGATTTTCTACCACATGGATGTCTGATATTTATATGAGGACTTTGGATGAACATGGTATTTCCAGTATTTCCCACTGTAAAAAAAATGATTCAAAATGTATTTGTTCACATGTCTTTAAGCATATGTGTAAGTTTATCTACAGGAAAATTGCCAAGAAGTGAATTACTGGGCAAAATGAAAAAAAAAAAGATTTTGATTGATATTGCCAAATAATCTTTCCAAGAGGTTTTTCTGGTCCTGTATGGCAGTAGGGCATTTTTAATGCTCTTGACATACACTGAAAGGTTGCTTCATAGATTCATCGGAGTATTTTACACACCCAGAATTTGGTCATGATGTGTCTGTTTCATCACATCCACACCACAATTGGAAACTTTAATTTAAAAACCTTTATTAATAGAATAAATAAAGATTGAAATTTCAATTTTGGTTGACCTTTCCTTGATTTATTTAGTGAACTTTGACATTTTCAAAGTTTTCCCCCCATTTTTATACTTAGTCAATCTTCTCTTTTTGCTTTATGTTCACCTCATCTTGTAGTATTAAATGAAATAATGTTCTTCAAGGGATTAACATGGAATCTGGCAGCACATGCTATTAATTTGTATGAGTTTCATTATATCTTGAAATTATTACCTTCATGTGTTGAATTTCCTGGAAGTATTTCCTCCCATTCATCTTCCCTTAAAATCTATCCTTTAAAAAAATTACACTTACCTTTAAAACTTTATATATTCATAACAAGTGCATTTCTAGAATTAATGATTTATTGATTTTAAGTTTTAAATAATGTAAAATGCAGCATTTTAATAAGTATTTACTTGCATTTTCTTTACAAAAATTTTTTAAAAATTAATTTTGTAAGCAATTTGAGACTTGACATGGAGTGAGAAAGTCTCTAAATCAATTTCACCCACAAATGGCTAAACCATTATTCCAGCAGCATTTAATAAAGAAGCCTCCCCCTTGCATTAAGTTACAATGTGCTTTATTGTCAAACATTCAATCCAAACACATATTAAGGAGTATTGCCAGACTGGACAGTCTTTTCTGTTTTCAGTTTTAGTACCAATTGGATGAGTGTATTGATGGTAGGGAATAGCCTTACTAATGATTTCAAATAATTTTTTTAAATAAAAAATGACTGGTTGCCTTAACCAGTTTGGCTCAATGGATAGAGCGTCAGCCTGCAGACTCAAGGGTCCTGGGTTTGATTCCTGTCCAGGGCATGTACCTTGGTTGTGGGCACATACCCAGTAGGGAGTGTGCAGGAGGCAGCTGATCAATATTTCTCTCTCATTGATGTTTCTAACTCTCTATCCCTCTCACCTTCCTCTCTGTAAAAAAAATCAATAAAATATATTTTTTAAAAAAGACTGGTTATGATATTTTTGAGTATACATTTTGTTAAACATAAATTAATTTTGGAAAAACTCATTTTTACCTCATTGTATCTTTCCATTAAAAATCTGTGTTGCCTTTCTGTCATAGTTTTTTTTGTAATTGTTTCCATTGTTATTAGTTTTTTTGTCTCATTATATCTCCTAGTTGAGTATTACTATTTTAAAAACCTTCTGATGATTATTGTTTTTAAAAACATTTCAAAAATATAGCTATTTGACACTACTGCCTCCCAAACCAAATTGCTTTTTGGTAAATTCTCTGAAAAAATTTTTGTAGAAAATTGTATTACCTGTTATTAGGAGAACATGAGTGGTATAAACTTTGATTTTTATTTCTCATCTTATTGAAATGTTTATAAATTTCTAAGAAACATAAAGAAGCAGTAGTAGACTTATAGATATGGAGAACCATGCCAGAGGGGATTAAAACAAATAAATCTTTTTATTGATTCTTTTGAGAGAAATGAAGGGAGAGGGAGAGAGAGATAGCAACATGGACAAGAGAGAAACATTATTGATCACCTGCCTCTTGTGTGCCCCCTCCTGGGGATTGAGCTTGCAACCCAGGCAGGTGCCTTGACCAGGAATCGAATTGGCGACCTTCTTGTGTATGGGTCGTCGCTCAACCACTGAGCCACACCAGCTGGGGGCAATGTGGTTTTGAAACAGAACAGACTGATGTTTGCCGGAGGGGATATGAAAGTATGGAGAAGTACATATTGGTACATATTTACAAAATAGTGGGGATGAAAAGTACAGATAAGGAATATAGTCAATAATATTGTAATAACTACGTATGGTACCAGTTGGGTACTGAAAATATCAGGGGAACACTTTGTAAAGTATATGATTGTCTAATCACTGTAGTGTACACCTAAAACTAATAGAAAACAATATCAAATGTAAACTGTAATTGAAAATGTTAAAAAAAATTTTTTAAAAAGAAGCCGCACTGATTGTCAATATCCTCACCAGACTTTGGGAAGAATGCCTCTGGAACTGTCTCCAGTAGGGTGCTGGATAATGTTTTTGGATAAATGGTCTTTATTAGTTTTGGTGATTTGATATCTGATTTTAGTGACTGGATAATGACAGTGAAGGAAATAGCTAAAGAACATATATACATACCCCTGGACATGGACATTCATTTGTAAAGGCCAAGGAAGTGAGTGCCGGGGGAGGGTGCTGCAGTTGGACAAAGGGTAGAGGAAGGGGGATCCTGCAATAATGTCAACACTAAAAATTGTTTTTTAATAAAAGAAGTTCTGATTTTATTTTTGAATCAGAAATGAGTGACTTCAATCACTATCTCTTCTCAGGGACTTGAACCAATAATTTGAATGGTAGGATGTATGCTTCTATCAATTTGTCAGCCAATGTGCCTCCCCTGCCTCAGGAAGATGATGGTTGCTTTTTTCCTCTGGTATAACTTTGTATTCTTTTTTACTTAACTTTATTTTTATTGTTGACATTATTACAGATGTCCCCATTTCCCGCAGCTTTACCCACCTCCACCTAACATGACCAGAGAGCTGTCTCATTTTTCTACTTGTTCTCCAGACCTCAAGCCTTAGTCTCCATACAGGTGAAGATTTTGAGGAAAATGAGAGCCAGTGTTGAAAGGATTAAACTAAGGAAGTCAACTTAGAAAGCCCAGGCTGGAGGAGAGAACCAGAACCGAGAGCCAGGAACCAAGAGCAAGGAAACTGCCTCCTCCACTCACCTGGCCCCTGGTGACTCCCTGCTAGGAGGTCCTGGAAAATCCTCTGCAAATGAATGGCCTCTGCAGCTGCTACTACTCCTTTGGCTGCACCTCTCTTTTGTACCATTGCTGCTGAGAGTACATCTTCTGTCCCCTGGGGCCTGGGCTTTTGCACAGTTTTGAGCTCTGAGTTGCCCCAGGTCTTCCCTGCCACTTTCTAGGACCTCCAGGAGGCTCCCTCTAATCTTTTTTCCCATGTGCATCAAGGTTTGGTGTTTTTCCATCACAGCTTCAAAAGCCTCCAGTGATCTCAGAGGTGTATCCAGCTCAGCTCAGGGGACAGAGGTACTCAGCCTCCAGTCCCATGGGAACTTGTATGAGATGGTCATCTCTGTCTGGATGAAGGTTTAGGAAGAGGTGTCCTTCTTCTTGTGTGAATCCCTGAACTCCTGCCCTCCCCCCAACACATGCACCTTTCTTTAGCCTCTTCAGGGACCATTTTCCAGCAAGTGTGTTCTCTGCTGTATCTTTAACCACTTTCTTATTCAGGACCTATCTCTCGCTTATCTATAATAATAAAAGCATAATATGCTAATTAGACTAGAGTCCTTCCGGGACAAAGCTGGGGCTGCAGCCACTGGATCAAGGCAGCTGCTGTGCTGCAAGGGAGAGATCCAGGCAGCGTGGAAGGGAGGGATCCAGGCAGTAGCAGCTGCAGAGGCCTACTCTTGCACGAATTTTGTGCATCGGGCCTTTAGTATAAACATAAAAAAGTAGATGCCTCTTCTGTTGGAAACCTCCTATTTGTTGCTTCAGATCAACTTTACACCTTGCTCTGTACCCATAGAGGTTAAAGT